CTGAGCTGCTGAGCTGCTGAGCTGCTGAGCGGCAGAGCCGCCTCGGTGCGATCTGCGAGATGCGCGCTTCGCCCATTTTCACGTCCGCTTCCGCTCTCTCTCTCTCCGTCACATTCTCACGCCACTGCTCGGACCCTTTTTTTTCTTTTTCTTCTTCTTCTCGCCTTTATTTGGTCCTCTTTCTTTTCCCCGCCGCCACCACCGACATGCACACTTGGGCGCGTCTCTCCGCAGAGCACATCGAATCGCCGCGAGAGCACACAGATTGATACGAACGCGCCCTCCCTCGTCCTTTCTCTTTTCTTCTCTCTCGCGGCTCTGCATGCATTGACGCTTGGGGCATGGCAAAGCTAGCGACCGGACGTCCGATTGGTCCAAAGCACTCTATCCGGCAGCGAAGATCATGTTGGCCCGCATGAGCAAAGCGGCGCTTATTTGTCCTACTTGGATCCTCGGCAAAGCAGAGTGAGCCGCGGATCCTGATGCGGTCAGTGCGTCTAAGCGAGCCTGGCGCTGGAACGCGGCTCAACGAGATAAAAATGGCCCGTGTTGCTGTGTCACCGCGGAGAAGAATGTCGCTCAGTGTTACACCGACAGAGATAACAAAGAGACATCAAATCAGGCTGTTAGAGCGAGAAGTGGAGGCGACAGGGTCCAAAAAGAGGCTGCAGCCGCCCCTGCATAATGCGGCTGTCAGAGATAGTAGATAGAGAGAGGCCCAACTCAGCCTCCATCCGCTCTTCATCCTACACACACACCCTCTCTCACCGCATCGACAGCGGCGTCACCACCATGGCAACACCCTCCGAACAATCATCGGCACCAGCCAACGCTGCTCCGCCTACAGACACTGCGACGGCGCCCGCCGAGTCCACTCTCCCGACAAATACCGCAGCTGATCCTACATCCACCTCGCCTCTGCAATCCGCAGGCTCAGTCGCATCTGCCTCCATGCTCCCTCGCAGCACCGCACTAGCATCCACCGGCTCAGCAGCCAGCTCGGCCGCGCCCGGCTCAGGTTCCGCCACTCCCACCCCGCGTACACCCAACACCCAGGCCGCCGTGTCGCCACGTCGCGCCTCGTCGAGCTTGGCCCACAACTCTTCGAGCGTCGTCGCCTCTCGCGAGCCTACCGCCTCGGCACGTCGCATCCGACAGCACACATTCAGCTCTACAGCTTCCGCAATGGCCTCCACCGACGGCTCCAACGTCATCCCGTCCATGTTTGGCCACCCCTTCCGCGCCGATAGCCCCGCTGGCTTCGTCGGTCCGCGCCCATCCCACACCACCCGCATCCAGCCTGCCTGGGTCCGCCCCGCAAGATCGCAACCCTCAAACCCTCGCGACACTACCGCACCAAACTCGAGCCCAAACGCCACCCACCTCAGCTGGTACTCGACGCCCATCCATTCGCACCCGCATCAGCCCCAACCCTCCGCATCCACCGCCAACCCATCCCATCGCCAACCACACTCTCACCACGACCCACCGGCTGCTCAGCACCGTGCCGCGCCAGCTTTCGTTCCAGACACGCAGCCGACGTTTGAAGAGACAACTACGATCTCGTTCACCTGGACCATCCGCGACCTGCACCTGCTGCGCGAAGAGGTCGAGCACTCGCCGCCCGCTTCCGAAGGCGGTCGCTCCGTCAGTGCAGGTGCGGGCAAGAGCGACATCTGGACCAACCCGCCCGTATTCGGCGATGGAAAGTGGAAGCTCGAGCTGGTGCGCACCACTCGCAGCCTCGCCTCCCCCAGCCACGAATCGCCACACACACCGCACCACGCCCGTCCATCCGCCTCGGTCGACAGCACAGACGCGACGTCTTCGCCCACCACCGCCTCGGCGAGCATCACCATCCTCTCCGTCTACCTGACCGCGCTCGTGCTCGACTACACGCACGCCAACGTCGAGATCCCCGCGTGCATCATGCTCGGTCTGAGGCCCGTGCGTGCTCCCGTCGGCCGGCGTGGTGCAGAA